ATACTTTAATTCTGTTTTATATAATAGGGGTGTATTATTTTATACGCTATGATACTCGTAAATGAATTGTTTTATTATAAGTGTATATTATTGTAGATGGGTGCCAAGCTAAAACTAAGAGTATAAATTCCATCGGAAACCAACAAAGGTACCTTATATAACATAATACATATGGACATAAGGTAAACTGTAAAATAATCCGGAAAAAAATACAAAACATATAACAAATAAACAATACATCTATTGATCTATCTATAGGACTATACTTATAACTATAGTTAGTTAGTTAGTAGTTATATATTTAATAATAAGTCACAAACCAAGGAAGAGAAACGTATTTTAGGTTAGTAAAAGTCTAAACAATTTATATTGCTATCGTCGTTATGATTTATTCCGATATCTCATTGTGCGCCAACTATTCAGTGTATTAGTGTACTACCGACAGTATAAACCTAATACAGTGAAGCAATATATATGTATATTGTATATATTAAATTTGTTTCAAAACAAATTATATTCAATTGTTGTATGACAACTTGGCCTATAATAAATAGAAAATAAAATAGCGTAACGAAACTTGATCAGTTTTATATAGGTACCTTGTTACCAATTCCTTGGTAATAATATAAACCTATAAGTATATACGTCAGTGGAAACTGACCATTGAATTTATACATACCTGGCTGGTAATAATTATAGCTTTTTGTTTATTAAACGATACGAACTTTATTCAAAAACAAGAAAACAAAATATATTTTAATATAAAAATGTTCCGTGTTATTAATATAATAATAATATCTTTATTTTCAAGCATAGATAGCTGAGAGATATATTTTCTGATTTCATAATCAACATTAATAATTAGGTATATTGTAGGTACAGTTGGCGTATTCGAATATAGATACCATAGAATAATGGTGGGCAAGTTAATGAAAATAATTAACTGTGGAAAGTTAAGTTAATTCATTTAAATTGCCTTCAGTTCAGTTAAAAGTTAACAAAGAAAAAAAAAATAACTAGATAAGTTTAAAGTTAAGAGAGAAAATAAAATTAACTTATCTCAGTTAAAAAAAAGTTAATTTCTTTGAAGGTACAATATTTTTAAGTCATATACTACCATAGTATTTTGTTATACAAAAACATTTACCAAGATATTTAACACTGTGTAAAAAATTAAATTATTATAATACATAATTCGAAAATAAATTACTAAAATCGTAAAAAAGTCGACCAATCGGTATTGCCTAGTTGATTAAGCATGACTCAAAAATTAAATTATCTTAACTGCATGACAATGATAATTAACTATAAAAAGTTAAGTTACAACAATAAACATTTTAACTGAATAAGTTAATAAGTTAAAAACAAAAATAATTAACTAGTTAAGTTAATGCCCACCTTTGCGGCATAGATACAATATAAAAGTATACAACATCAACTGCCCTAAACGTGTTTTGCGTATAAATCAAATATTTAACTAACAAACTAAATATAGGTAGGTATAGGAAATATTTATTTGATTACGAGATTTTACGTATCGAAATATTATCATGATTCATGAATCATGGCTATCGATCTCTATTCGAGCTGAGTGGTCATAATGTGTTTTAAAATGAAATATTTCGTTCCAATTTATCGACAAAAAAAAAATAACGTATAACTTATCATATGTTATACGCATGGTATTCAAATTTCAAAGTCGATGACATTATCAAAGTGTCAACAAAAAATAATTATACCACACGGCCAACGGATGATTGAAGATAAGATATTCAAATTTATAAATACTTTTAAATTTATTCAATACATTATCGTTAATAATAACCGTTATTTCTTATTAAAGCACGACCAATATGAATGCTAATAATATATATTTTGCTCCGAGTGTCTCTAATAGGTTCTCTGCTACTGTCTCGCGTTGGCCTACGGACTACAGTTAATGTAAATTATTATGAATACAACACTGTTCGACAATAATGCTTGTCACAAATGTATGAATAACAATAGTTTTGGTCAGTAATATTCACATTCAGTTATTAGGAATCCATGTAACGCATTTACTGCAATGTTCGAAAACATTTATCACTCTGGTAGCTTTAGCATGCTTCCGAAAACGATTTGCATATAATATTATAATATAAAAGTACCCAGACAATTTTGTTAATACACTTCCTTGTTATAAAAATCTGTTTTTTAATTAAAATACGTATACCCTCAAGTCAATTTAATTTTCCGAAAAAGGTATTATGGAGTTGAGTTATTAATTTATTATTATGAAACAAAATGAGAATACTTGAATTTCAGAGATGTGATTAAACTTTAAAACAAAATTATATTAAATATTATAATATCATATTATTTTATACAATTATGATGAAAGTAGGTAGATAGGTTCATAATATGATATTGAAAAATATCTAACGCTGAACGACGATCTATAGAAGCGATGAATTTGAATTTTTCAGTGTTAAAAATGTTTTAAATATTTGTTAAAAGACAAAGATATTATAGGAGCAAAGTAACTCTATTAGCTAATCTCGGAGGTTTTATAATGCTCATGGCTCATGCAGAACAATAGACACGTCTACCTGTGTGGTGTGTGGGTATGCAATGCGGGCACGTCTATGCAAATATTCGAATATTAATATTATAAGCATAGGTCATCGAACGAATTTACCGGAGCATTGGACATTATAACAATAAATATTATCAAGCTATTCACGTTTACGTACTCCCTGGCCCCTAATGGTAATTTTGTAAAAAATATCAGTATATTTCTACTAATTATAAGAGTGGATATACGGCTGTTACCTTGTGAAAAACTTGAGGGTGTTACCTGTGGATCAGTAGTAATTAGTAAGTCATGCTTATGTATACACTGTACCTAGTCACTAATTATTAGTAATAATGTGTGATAATTTCCATAATATTATATAAGATATCGTAGATACTAGATATAAAACTCAGTAATATATAATAAAACGACGACAAGAAACTATAATAATATAACATGTAATAACCGCGAGCCGGTAAACGAAACTATCCTGTCTCATAGAGAATTTAGATTATTTTTAATTTGAAGGTTACTTTGATGATAATATTAATTTCTGGTCATTACTATCATTACAATTGTATACACGATACACCGCCTGCAGTATACAATACCTAATATTATATATTTTGTTAAGTACGATGGATGGCTGATGGTGAATTGTGATATCCTGAAGCCCCCCTCCACCGCTAACCGACTGTTAAAAGTTTTCCAAAATAAATGCCATTAGACGACTTAAATCAACAATGTCGGATGCCACCGGCAGCAACGCGTTACGTAATATTGTTATAATAATTAAAAATCGTATTTCGTTATCATAACAGGGCTGGCGATATTAACTATATAGGGGGTGACTCACTTGATATGAAGTGATCGTAACCTGCCTACTTACTTGAACACAAAAATACAGAGACGCGTTATTGAATATTTCGTGTTCATTTCAAAGTTAAATTCATAGGCACAAATATTACGGTATGTACTTATATAGGTTATTGACGCATAATTTGTTTTTGTCGTCAGTGATTGGGAAATATCGATGTAACGAACGACTTAAATGAAATCTATGATCATGTACACAGGCTATAATCAGGTCTTTGGAGTTTTAGTTTTAGTTCAGCTACTTGAGTTGTATTCAGAATTGACGAAAACCTTAAACCACATAGAATTCAATTCAATTAAACTAATCACTATATACACCAAGTAATTACATATATTTTACTTGGGTAACTATATAAATAATAATCATAAACACAGTTTTCAAATTTAAAACGATAATGACACAAACCAGTTTTGAACAACTCAAAACGAAATTGTTTGTTAGTTATTACGAGGTCACCAAAAGCACCAAAAGAAGTGCTGTAATAAGTATCAAGAAATCAAGTTTTTTACCAATCCGGACATTAAATAAATTATTTAAATTGGGCATTTTTCAAGTATACTATTAAATCACAAACATTCTACGATTATTTACTTTATCTAGTTGCACAATATAAGGTTTATATTCGATATACCTAACGTTAAAAATATAAAAGCAAACAATTTGTAAATTGTTTTAAAAACAATTTTTCAACGTGATTTAAATATAAAAGGCATACTATTTTTCTAAATTTTACATGAGAGACAAAACTACAACATTTAAGCTTTCTTACAAGTTACAATACGGAATACTCCCGTCAACACTCGGTTTTTCTAGTAAACTAACTTTTTATTCAATCAATGTAAAATTACAGAAAACCTTCAGTTTTATAGACGTGGTTTGAAATCGATTTAAAGCTCTTGACCTTTAAATATTACTTAATTATGTATCTATCTAATATGCTCGGAATCAAAATATACTGTTTTAAAACTTCCTTATAACGGAAATCTCCTTACAGCAAAAAATAACAACAGTCCTTTATAAAACATATGTCCCATATATTTTAGACTCCCTACAACGGAAATGTTCATAAGTCATAACTACAATGACACTCCAGTTAAGTATCAAAATGTTCTATTTTTATTTTTTATAAATCACTATTAAATAACAGATTTGTAAATTGTATTGATTTGTAAGTTTATCACCTTTTAGTTCTAGACAAATCTTTAAATAATGGTCCTACATGCGGTCAATATTTACAGAAATCCGAAAACAAGCTTGTGCATGTGATCTTATAGTTGGATAGTTGATAATTTTTTTATATCATAATTTAAAGTCGATACCTGATGAGGTTAATGATAAAATTACCAAAATGTTAATCATTTATTTTTGTGTAAGGGGGTCTTAAGCCTGTTAGCTTAACTGTTAGCCTCCCTCACTCGGGTTCCCCCTTGTGCAAACTCTACATAATAATTCATGTACATTATACCTATCTATAATAAGAAAATAGATTTTCGAAAAAAATCGATTCAGCACTTTTTGGTCACGTTCTAACAATCGCATAATATTATTATATAGGTACTCTCTACTCACGTCGTCTTCGTCGTCTCGCACGCTGTTCATCCAGAAGCACATGGCCATGCATATGAGCACTGCCCCCGAGGCGACCAGGCCGACTCCAATGTACCGGACAGCCGGCACGGGTTTCGTGTGGTGGTCGGCCAGCCCGAGCCAGTTGAACAGGGCGCCGATGCACACCAGCGTCATGCCAAACCGGTACGGCCGTTGCGATTCTTCCGGCACGATCAGCGCCATTTCCGGGTGTGTGGTGGTCTCGACGATGTTGGCGACGCTCGCGCAGTGGTTGCCTGTTGTCGTCGTGCCAGTCGTTTCCAGTAAATTATAATAATATTTTTATATTTATATTCCGTCGACTACCGCGACACTTGTTGCTCCGACTGCGACTGCTGAAACAATAATACGGCAACGCGGATGCAGTGAGTCTGACTACTACTGAGCTAACATATCGATTTGCACATTTTCAAAAACAGCGTATATCGTAGTTAAATGATTCCTATGCATATATGTTTATATTATGTAATATTTTGTACAGGTATACAATTTTTGGTTGACAGATCGAGTTTTTTACATGGTTTTCGTCCAAAACCTATGAATTAATTATTATATTCGTCGTTTTCTTTACAGTATCGTAATATATATAAAAAAAAACATGGTGACTATATACCACGTTAAGTCGATACATGTTTAATGTGTTTACGCTTAAATATAACATTGTATAATATTAATTAAATATGTATAATATGTTATTATGTAGATTTTTAAAGAATAACTAACAATTAATAATCAATATATTACAATGGTGCCTTTATTTAAATATTAGACTCTCTTATAAATTATAATATTATCTGGTTGACCGATTGTTTTAATAAAAAAATTTAGATTTGATGAGTATATTGTATATTGAAAAACGATTTTTGTATTATTATTTATTATATAGGTACTTGATTTTTTCTTAAACACATTATTAAATTATTCACTAATCGTCGCACTGAAAAGAACTGTATATTGTACGAGTACCTTAAATATTACAATGATGAGCATTGTGTTAGATTCATAATTTCGGCGTTCATAAAAAAAAAACAGTTTTAATAGAAGTTGAACGGTTCATGAAAACAGTAAGTACCTATACGTGAAAACTTAAGGTGAATGAACCAAATTTTTTTTTTTTATAAAAAAAGTAATTTCTTCTTTTTTGATTTGCTTTCCTTTTGTCAATCGTCACTGATATACAGCAGCAGTCGTTTGCTGTAGCCTGTAGACACCTATACAAGTATACAACTTCACGGTTCACTAAACGCATAGCGCTTCACGCACTATTAGTATCACTTCCTAACAATATACACACAACAAAACCACTGCAGTGAATAGAGTACCAGCTATTATTTAAAACTCATTCCACGAATATAATATTATTATAATAATATTCAGTGATATTTCTCTCCGGCGAAAACTAACGACTGCTTTCAGTTCATAATATTTATATAATAATTTACTAATTAGTATCATAAATTGAAATCTCACGTTTTATAATTTAGCAGCGGTAAATATAAACGATAATACAGTAATTAAATAGGTATATTATATACTATTGAGTACCCATACAAAATAGATATGCGCTATATCTATCCATACTTTAATAGTTTAATTGCTTTAAACACTACATATACCTTTCCATATAAGTACCTACCTACCTACATAATATGGGTACAAGGCGAATCGCTCAACAATTTATATGGCTAATATTTTATGCTGGATTATTGTGTGGTAAACTCTTTTATTTACTACCCCACTACGAAATAATGAACTGTAAACGTATAAAATGAAACACTTTTTACACGGAGCAAGGCGTAGTAATGTGTGTATACCTACATAAATGCACAATAATACAATTAAAGAATGCTGATATGAGGTTGAATGTCTATTAGTGTTAATGCAATAGTATCTATACTTGTATACCTATCACATAATATGATATATGTATTATTATAATTTATAATATACGTACTCAGAAAACAATTCTGAGCCAACATAGGTTTATCCAAAATTGGTTGAGATTCATATGAAAATGTACAAATATGGGTAAAGGACGCGAAATGATAGTTTATAAGCTTTTTTAGTGTTAGTAATTCAGGGTACGTAACTTTCCTGTAAATACTCAATGAATAATCTAAAAAAAAATTTACAATTAACAAAATAACAAATACTTGGTAATAAAACAATAGATAATGGGAAAATAAAAAAATATTGGTGCTAATACCTACATGGAAAAAAATTCTGATTTTGCGGATGGGTTTTTTCGGAAAAAACCCGATAAAACCGACCATTATTACTTTTCTAATAAAACCCACAGGGTTTTTTGGGGTTTTATTTGACAAAACCAGAAAAAACCCAACCGGGTTGGGTTTTTTCTATAAAGCCCGGGTTTTTGCCAACCCCTGGTTAGTATAGTAACAAATCACATAATATTATCTTTGTAAATAAATAATGAAAATAAATCAATCATAAAGATAATTCATAATAATATAGTTAACAAATATAATATGAAACCTATACTTAATTATATTGTCCACAATACACAATATTAGTTTTGTATTTGTTATTTATTAATATTTACAATTTGTTATCAATATAAATATTTAGATAATATTACAGTAATGTAAATTTATGTAGCACTAATGGCCAAGCATTTGAAGCAAAATAAAGATACATTTAAAAAAAATGTAAGTATAAAAAATTATAAAGCTAAAATAATAAATTTGCATAATAAGTTGACACGTACTTGAAATACCAATATACCAAAGAATTGGCATTAACTATAATAAAATATTCATGTAATAAAAGTGTATTATATCCCAAATTTTCTGTAAAAAGTTGTACATCAAACTATTGTTATAAAATAAAACTAATTTAATTTTTTAGAAAATAACGTTATAATTAAGTTGAGACTTTAACACATTTTTTATTTTTGTATAGACATCCGACACTGTTGTTAAGACACTATTGAGTGTAAATAGCCTTTAAAAGCAATGAATTATAATGTGTTGACTATAGTTACGTTTACTTTAAAATTAAAATATTATGCGATTTAAATAAAATTGGTTCATTTCTCTCATTCGTATACAACGTTTTTATCTAACCCGTCTACAGTATTGTGACTGATAACAAGTTTTAATTCATGGGTTATAAGTGGGATATTTCTTAATCTCTTATCGTATTATCAGATGTTTTCTTCTAATAAAGGTTAATAGTTTTTACCGACACCTTGACTTTGTTTAAACGTCAACTATAGTCTATAACTACCTAGTTTATTTACATGTAGGAACCATATATAGGTAGGTACAATATTTTGATATGATACACCTAGAACCTAGTAACAAACAATACAATTTGTACGTAAACAAGATATATCAATACAACAATAATGTAACAATAACAGTACGTAAAAAGTAATAATAAGTACGTCGTTCATGAATAAATTATTATATAAGTTTACATTTTGTTGTAGGTAAATGCAAATAAAAGAACTCATACGTCATATAGTATTATTCAAATTTTAATTGTTAATTTGTTATAATTACTATGCGTGTAAACTGATATGTACACGTCATAATATAAACGAATGCATCATGCATGCATATATATCTATATATTATTTGTATAAGAAAAATAAATAAGAATGCGTAGGTAATTAATATTATCTATTTATAAGTTACCTACTCATTTAAAACACATTCTAATTAAAACTTCAATTAAATTAAATTCATAAATCATATTTTATGTAGGTATACCTATTAATCTAATATTACTATATTAGAATTTAGAACACTATTATACAATAATAAATATTATGATCGGTTCGAGAACATCAAATTTACATAACATTTAGGCTGGCACTAATAATTAATGATTTTCTATAATTGAAATACTATTTTAAGTACACTATACAAGTTTTTACTATATAGGTAACTTCAACTTTTGTTCAAAATTTGATTTTGATATTATATCGGAACCTCTGAAGATTATCGTACTTAGAACATAGAAAGTTAAAAACGTACTTGTCTTTTAAACTAAACATCATAAAAATGATTGTGTTTAAAAAAGATATATTTTTTTTCAATAATGTAATTTTATAGACTTTAAATTATGTAAAAAGTTTTCGAAATAAGAAAAGCCTTAAGGTGCGTTGAAAAAATCACTTTGTAAAGTTACTTATTAGTTATTTGTAATACAATTTATAAAACGTACATTTATAATTAGTGGTACCTAAATTAATTAAATTTCTATATTCTTCTCAGAACAAAAGTTTACGCACAGTGCATAATATAAGTTATTTAATATTATTATGTAATTTATATTTACATAAAATATATTTAAGTAAACTAAGTTAATTTAACACTTAATAACTTTATATAAGCAAAGACCTATTATTATTTATGGTCCAAAAAAAATTTAAGACATTCGCTTTGATTTAGAAATGTTATCTACTTAAAAAAAAAACACAGATGCGAGAAGATGTTTGCAGCATTAATATTATTCTGTACAACAGTATATAGGTACCTAATATTTGGAATCGTAAAATTTTTTTTTTAATTCAAAATTTAAATTATCTTCTTTGTTATAAAAAATAATAATTACTACAATTTATGATCTATTTGTATGCATTATGTAGTGAACACTGAACACTATATTAAAGTCTTCACATAAATACATAGTATTATAATTTTTATATTATTATGATATTATAATTATCTTGTTATCTTGACAGTTATTTAAAAAAAAAAATACTATAGGTAAATTCATACTTTATTTAATACTTTTATACGTCTAATACCAGTAGTCAGTATATTGCCTATTTGAATAACTAATTTATTATTAGTAGGATGTATAGTAATTTAAATTTGATTTCATGTATTAGGTACAAGGTAATCCTAAAACAATATAAATGTATGATATTCAGCGAAAATCCGGCACTTTTAATGTGATCCGGAAATATGGGATTCACTATTATTACTAAACAACTCTATATACCTATATAATTTAATTTATAAACTTTATTTTGGTATGTTAATAAAAAAGTAATTATTTAATTTAAGTTTTGAGTGCTTATTATGGTGTAAAAATGTACAGTAATAGTTATTTAAATATTCAAATAGTACCTATCTTAGAGACATTCAATATGTTTTTATGATTTATAAAATAGTTAAATTAGATTTAAATTTTTAAGGGGTATGTAT